GGTGCCAACAGGCCTGTTGTCCCCACGGGCCAGCATCACGCCGTCAGCTCGTGGTGGCCTTTCCGGGACCTTTTGGCCTCAGACAGATGGACCCCGGGGGACGGGCTGCACCGAGCGGCACGAGCCCTCTGAGCAGGACCCCTGGTTTGGGGATGCGGGGAGACACATATCCGGGCACGGGGGAGGAGGGCGGCTGGAAGGGGAGAGCATCCCCGAAATCACAGCCCACCCCACGGAGCAGCCACAAAGCAGCACCTGAAGGTGGCCAGAGCTGTGTCCTCCCTCTCTCCTGGTGGCAGCTGCCAGCCAGGGCTGGTCCCCAGGCACTGGGTGTGTTTCCTGGTCTGGCCGGGGACGTCCACGTCCTCACTGGAGCTGCTCTGGACTTCCTGCTGCACACCTCCGCACCACGCCGGGGCTTTCCCTGGGGAAGCGGTGAGATGCTGGGAGCAGGGAGATGCCGCATGCCCCCTCGGTGGGCTCCTGGCACATCAGGAAGAAGGTCAGGTAGATGTTGGATAAGGTGGAGGTGAAGCAGGAAAGAAACCTTCAGCAGGGCTAGAGCAGCCTGGTTTGGGCTATAACACAGCTCCGTTCTAAAAAGAAAAGCCTGGGAGATGCTGCCCTGGGGGTGCTGTGGTTTCCCTTCCCTCCGGCACACAAGCACAGGTCCCTGCGCAGGGTGGCTGACTGTCCTGGGCCACCGCCCCAGAGGAGGACATGCTCTGGTGCTGACACCCATGCTGGCTGAGGTGCGAGGGACACCTTGAATGTGCCCTGGTCACTTTTCCACCCTGCTCCCACCACCTGATACCTCCCTGTAGGAGGGGATGTTCACACTTTCCTGCTCCTCTGCCAGGTCTCCAGACAGGGTCTCGCTGCTGTGGACCCTTCACCCTGCCAGAAGGCAGGGCCCGCTGCCTCCAGGATGGCGAGATGGCTGCCTCGCTCTACCGACCTGACCCGCTTCTGCCAGAAACTCAACCGGGTGAAGACCTTGGAGGATGACATGATGGAGACGTCCTTCAACAGATGCCTTTCCACCATCGACTTGACACTGCTGGGCATTGGGGGCATGGTGGGCTCCGGGCTGTACGTCCTTACGGGCACAGTGGCCAAGGAGATCGCTGGCCCTGCCGTCATCGTCTCCTTCATCATCGCCGGCTTTGCCTCGCTCCTGGCTGCTCTCTGCTATGCTGAGTTTGGAGCCCGGGTACCCAAGACGGGCTCTGCCTACATGTTCACCTATGTGTCCGTGGGTGAGATCTGGGCCTTCCTCATCGGCTGGAATGTGCTGCTGGAGTACATGATTGGGGGAGCTGCGGTGGCCAGGGCCTGGAGCGGCTACCTGGACTCCATCTTCAACCACAAGATAAAGAACTTCACTGAGACCCACGTGGGCGCCTGGCAGGTGCCGTTCCTGGCCCACTACCCCGACTTTCTGGCAGCTGCCATCCTGCTGGTAGCCACCGCCTTCATCTCCTTTGGGGCCAGAGTGTCCTCCTGGCTCAACCACGTCTTCTCAGCCATCAGCATGGGTGTCATCCTCTTCATTCTCATCATGGGATTCATCCTCGCGCAGCCCAAGAACTGGAGTGCCCAAGAGGGTGGCTTTGCCCCACATGGGCTCTCGGGTATCATGGCCGGCACGGCCACCTGCTTCTACGCCTTCGTGGGCTTCGACGTCATCGCAGCCTCCAGTGAAGAAGCCAGGAACCCCCAGCGGGCTGTCCCCAGGGCCATCGCTTTCTCCTTGGGGCTGGCCACCGGGGCCTACATCCTGGTGTCAATGGTGCTGACGCTGATGGTGCCCTGGCACACACTGGACCCTGACTCTGCCCTGGCAGATGCATTTTACAGGAGGGGCTATGCCTGGGCAGGGTTCCTGGTGGCCGCTGGCTCCATCTGTGGTGAGTACAGGCAGTGGTGGCAGGAGCTGCCCACCCTGCTCGCGATGGGGGCTGGGAACCGGGAACTGGGGCAGTTTGGGTCTAATGTGGTCCTCCTTCTTCTGCCCATTCCTCAGCAATGAACACGGTCCTGCTGAGCAACCTCTTCTCCCTGCCACGCATCGTCTATGCCATGGCTGAGGACGGGCTCTTCTTCCAGGTCTTCTCCCAAGTGCATCCCCGCACGCAGGTGCCTGTCATCGGCATTGTGGTCTTCGGGCTGCTCATGGCCCTGTTGGCCCTCGTCTTTGACCTAGAGGCCCTGGTGCAGTTCCTGTCCATCGGCACGCTGCTGGCCTATACCTTCGTGGCCGCGAGCATCATCGTCCTGCGCTTCCAGCAGCAAAAAGTGGATGCTCCTGCCCCGGCAGCGCGGGCCCCCGCCCGCCCCTGCTGGCCTATACCTTCGTGGCCGCGAGCATCATCGTCCTGCGCTTCCAGCAGCAAAAAGTGGATCCTCCTGCACCGGCAGCCGGTGCCCGGCCAAGCCCTGAGCCCCACGAGGGTCCATCTGCTGGTGAGCTGAAGGAGTATGAGTCCTTCTCCGACAAGCTCCAGCTGGTGGACAGAGACAAGAGCAAAGAACACCGGGAGCCGGGACAGCTGAAGGCAGCTTTTGAGCCCTACCTGGAGTTCCTCAGCGACTTCTACCCGGGCGAGGTGGTCACGGTGGCCGTGGTGACCCTGATGGTGTCTGCCATCTGCTTGTGCTCCATCTTGGTGTTTGGCAACACCCACCTCCACCTGCCCACCTGGAGCTACTCCCTGCTGCTGGTCCTCTTCAGCCTGGGCTTCCTGCTCAGCCTCCTCCTCATCTGGGCGCACGAGCAGCAGCGCAGCACGCAGACCTTCCAGGTACGCCCGGGGGCCCAGGTGGGATTAGTCCCTCTGCCGAGCTCGGTGGGGTGGGAGCAGCTCTGATGGACCCACAGGAGGCCCCGGTCACCCTGGTCTGGTGAAGCACCGCAACTGCCAAAGGAGGAGGAAGAGGGTGTCAGCACGCACTGGGTGTGGGGAGGTGGTGGTGCCTGCAGCGTCACTCGCCCTGCACGGTGACTGGTCCCTTGGAGGGGACATCCCCAGCAGCTCCATGTCCATACCAAGGGATTACTCCTGCCTGCCCTGGGCTCCCTCCTCTGCATCCCCACAGCCCCCCACTCCCCTCCTGCCCATCCCCACTCCTTCTGCCTTTGTTCTGCCCTCGAATTACACAGTGGAGCTCTTTTCTTCAGCCTCCAAAGCGCTTTTGTGCCTCTCATGCTCCCTCCTCTCCGGTTTCCAGCTCATCTGGGCCCCGGTGTGGTGCAGCCACATGGATGGCAACACCGGTGCTAACACCACCTCCTTGCCATGCCCCTGCCCCAGCTTCTCCAGTGAGGACCACATTGGCTCCAGATTGCACTGGGGGTTTGTTTGGTCCTTGTGACGGTTCCTCTGGGATGTTTCCAGAGCCCGTGCCCACCCCACCAGCCTGGCATGCAGCCTGGCTCCCAGCTCCTGGCTCCCTAACTGGCTGTTGTTCCTTTTGGCTGCCTTTTTCCTGGGAAGAAAAAAAAAAAAAAGGTCATTTTCAGAAAGCCTGGGGTGAAAGTCACTTTATCCCCCACGTTTACCAGAGCTGGCTTTTGTCGCTGTGGTTTTAAGGATGGTCTTACCACCCCCCGGCTCCATTTCTCCTGCAGATCCCACTGGTACCTCTCTCCCCAGCGCTGAGCATCGTCCTCAATATCTATCTGATGCTGAAGCTCAGCTACATGACGTGGCTCCGCTTCGCTGTCTGGCTGCTCTTAGGTGAGTGCTCCCAGGGCGGCGCGAGCCCTGGGAAGGTGATGGCTTCTTTGGGGGAGAGGGGAACTGGGCTTGTCTCGGCACTGGCTGGTGGCTTCAGTAGCTCTTTTCCCCCGGTGATGGATTTATAAAGGGAATTGTGCCCCTTTCCGCCTCCGATTCCCCTTCGGAGACATAAGCCGAGGTCTCCCAGCATCTCCCTGACCCAGTCTGGTTCCCAGAGCGTTACAGTTCGTTCCTCTTAATGTTTGGATGCTCCTTCAAGCTCTGGACCGGAACCACCCCCGGCTCCCAAGGCGGCTTCTGGGGGCTTGAGGAGCCCTTCCCAAGGAACGAGGGGTGCCCCCCCTGCCCTTGCAGGATCCTTTTCCGCCTGCAAAGCAGCTGCTTAAAGCCCCCCCCGGTGCCATGGCATGTCCTCCTCTGGGATGCCGGCCACATCCATGCCAGCCGCCAGCCTGTGCCTTCCCGGCCCCCCGCTGCAGGCCTGCTCGTCTACTTCGGTTACGGCATCTGGCACAGCAAGGAGAACCTGCGGGAGCCCCGGCCGCAGCGAGTCAGCGCCCGCTACGTGGTGTTCCCCAGCGGCAGCCTGGAGGAGAGGGTGCGGGCGGTCCAGCCCGGCTCCCAGCCCGCCACCGGGCTGCCGGACACCGACACCGAAGACTGCAAGAGATGACATCCCGGGGGATGGGGGCACCTGGCTATGGGAGCATCTGACCCCCGTGGCAAGGCCAGAGACCCCCTTTCCTCCTCCCGGTCCCTTCGGCAGCGGGGCCACCGGGGCTGCCCTGGGCTTGTGGCTCCATCTGGAGATGGCAAGGATGCTCGCCCTTCCCCACCAGCTCCCTGCAGAGCACGGCTGGGGGGAGGCTGGCTCCCTCCCTCCCCATCCCCAGCACTCAGGAACTGGGTCTCAGCCCCCTCGGCCCAGTGCCTGTCCTGCTCACGAGGAGCCACGTCCTCGCCACCTTCCTCTGCGCACACTCAGGGGCTGCACAGCAAATCTCCTTTCTGCTGGCCTGTCCGCGCAGCCGGAGCACTCAGGAACTGGGTCTCAGCCCCCTCGGCCCAGTGCCTGTCCTGCTCACGAGGAGCCACGTCCTCGCCACCTTCCTCTGCGCACACTCAGGGGCTGCACAGCAAATCTCCTTTCTGCTGGCCTGTCCGCGCAGCCGGGGGCGCGGAGGGGGGCGGGGGGTCCCTGGGGAGCGGGGCAGGCAGCCCAGCGCTGCCCATCCTGGGTCTCATCCTGGCTGCAGCCCTGCGGAGCGCCCCTGCCTCCTGCTGAGCCCCCCTGCAGAAGGAGGCAGGGGCCAAACGTGCTTTCCCCCCACTGACATCCCCGCCATCCCCATCTCCAGGGCTGCCCTCCAAAAAGGTTGGGGTGGAGCGGTGGGTGAGGAGCTGCTGGGGACATGCGATGGAGAAGGGAGGTGGCCAGAGCTGGGCAGGACAGGGATGCTGGGGCAGCCAGCGCGGGCTGGCACGGCAGAAGCCCAACAGCAGCTTGCCAACCGCCGG